TATTGGACCAGAAGGAGGAAAAGCATTGGCTAATGCACTTTGCAAGAACTCCACGCTGACTTCTTTGAATCTTCAATATAATAAACTTGGATTAGAAGGGGGAAAGGCAATAGCCGATGCATTTTGCAAAAATACCACATTAACTTCTCTGGATCTTAGTCATAATGATTTTGAAACAGAAGGGAGAAAAGCATTAGTTGACGCACTTTGTAAGAACACCACGCTTACTTCTTTGATTCTTCGTAGTAATAATTTTGAATTAGAGGAAGGAAAAGCATTAGCATATGCACTTTGCATAAACACTACATTGAAAGATTTGCACCTCGGTCATAATAAATTTAGATCAAAGGGAGGAAAAGCATTAGCTGATGCACTTTGCAAAAACATTACACTGACTTCTTTGAACCTTTCTGGAACTGATCTTGAATCAGAAGGAGGAAAAGCATTAGCATTCGCACTTTGCACGAACACTTCGCTGACTTCTTTGAATCTTGATCATAATCATCTTGGATCGGAAGTAGGAATAGCATTAGCTGATGCACTTTGTTGTAACACCTCATTGGCTTCTTTAAATCTTCGATATAATTGCCTTGGATTGAATGGAGGGTACGCAATAGTAGATGCACTTTGTAAGAATACCACATTAAAAAATTTGGACCTTCGAGATAATAATATTAGGGGATATACATTATTAGAGACACTCTGCAGGATGACCACCCTAAAAAATTTACATCTTCGAAACACTGACTTTGAAAAAGGAGAAGTATTGGTGGATCCACTTTACAAAAACACCGCGTTGACTTATTTGGATCTTCGTTCAAACGGACTTAGATCAGAGGAGATAAAAACATTAGCAGATGTACTTTACAAGTTCACCACGCTTACGTCTTTGAATCTTAGAGATAATTATTTTGGATCAGAAGGAGTAAAAGCATTAGCAGATACACTTTGCAAGAATTCAACACTGACTTCTTTGAATCTTTGTTATAATAAACTTGGATCAGAAGGAGGAAAAGCAATAGCAAATGCACTTTGCAAGAACACTGCATTAAGTTTTTTGGATATTAGTTGTAATAACCTTGGAGCAGAAGGAGGAAAAGAATTAGCTAATGCACTTTGCAAAAACTCAACGCTGACTTCTTTGAATCTTTGTGATAATAAACTTGGATCAGAAGGAGGAAAAGCAATAGCAAATGCACTTTGCAAGAACATCTCACTGACTTCTCTGGACCTTAGTGCGAATGATATTGGATCAGAAGGAGAAAAAACATTAGCTGATGTACTTTGCAAGAACTCCACACTGACCTCTTTGAATCTTGAATATAATAATATTGGATCAGAAGGAGGAAAAGCGTTAGCTGATGCACTTTGTAAGAACTCCACGCTGACTTCTTTTGGTCTTCAATATAATTATCTTGGATCAGAAGGAGGAAAAGCATTAGCAAACGCTCTTTGCAAGAACATTACACTGACTTCCTTGGACCTTCAACATAATTCGTTTGGATTAGAAGGAGGAGAAGCATTAGGCGATGCACTTTGCAAAAATTCAACATTAATTTCTCTGGATCTTAATAAAAATAATCTTGGAACTGAAGGGGCAAAAGCATTAGCATATGCGCTTTGCAAGAACACTTCACTGACTTCTTTGAATCTCGATGATAATAAACTTGGATCAGAAGGAGTGAAAGCATTGGCAAATGCCCTTTGCAAGAACTCTACGCTGACTTCTTTCTTGGATCAGAAGGAGGAAAAGCATTAGCTGATGCACTTTACAAGAACAGCACGTTGATTTCTTTAAATCTTTGTTGCAATAGACTTGGATCAGAGGGAGGAAAAGCGTTAGCTGATGCACTTTGCATAAACCCGACACTGACTTCTTTGAATCTTTCTAATAATCTACTGGGATCAGAAGGAGGAAAAGCGTTAGCTAATGCACTTAGCAAAAACAGTACGTTGAAAGATTTGAATCTTTTCGGAAATAGTCTTGCTATTAAATTACCGATAAATAATCCAAATCTTAAATTAGTGCAATAGATTAAATATATATAAAATATAGTATAGATTGTAAAATCTTATTTAAATCATAAATTGTAATTGTTAAAAATCTATTATAACTCATAAAGCTACATATAGTTAATTTTTCGTTTTGCATGACCTGGTATTCCAAAATTCCAGTCGGCAGTTCGGATTTTTTTCAATTTATTGTAAATTAATAACATGGGATAATTCTGAGTAAAATGGTGGTTATATTATCAAAATCGGGCCAGTAGTTCTTGAGATATACATGATGGAATCAGAAATTGGTAATTTTATTTTAGCGACGGCTCTATCAAGTAATTTTGGTAATTATGGCCACGGTCGGTTGACATTGGGGAATAATGATACAATTAGAACTTGTCTCTCATTTTCGGGTAACTTGCCATGGAAATACACCTGGTTGTTTTCTCCTTTTAACTGAGCAACCTACGCAGTTTTATAGTATCGTGTAACATTCTTTTTTTCTTTTTCTTTTATGACTGTCGTCTCGACAAGCCAGGTCTTAAAGATAAACACAAGCCACACATCAATTTTAATGAATGTCGTCCCGACAGGCCATAAAATGCATTAGAATTTGTACAAATAACTGACGTCTCGATAGGCCAGTCCTTAACCAAAACATATTAGTCCCACATCAAACTTAATGACTGTCGTCCTGACAGACCATTTTGGAAAACCCTAATGGGTATGGGAGGATCGATGTAAACAGTCGAATGTCGTGTTCGCAGAAGAAACAAGATTATTTCCTCTTCATACTTCATCGATTATTAATATACCTGTGCACTAATTAATTACCTCATACTAACTCGACTAATTACTTCAACTTTCCCATTACCTCATTTCATACGAGAATTTTCTCATCACTGATCGATCACTTGATCGATCATTAGACCGAACGTGAACTGACATGTCATATGTTTGGTCTCGTGATGATTCGAGTATCGAGCAGCTTTGTTTATGAGAAGTATTAGTTCCATAAGTTTTCTTATGATATACGCATTACAGGTCCTGATAGTGGTTACATGATTTATTATCGTTCGGAACTTATGTGACCATCATTTGAAATTAATGTTCTCAGAGTTCTCATGAGAACACAGTATAAATGTCACGTGTGACGGTAACTCGAAGTAATCGGTAATAGTAATAGGGACGATCAAAATCTTAAGTAACTTTATAGAACAATGGCGATAATAAAGTCAAATTAATATGTAACTAATAATGTCATTATTACATCGATAGTCATTTAACGTAATTGTTTAGTATGTAAGAGGTATAAATAAGAAAAGTAAAGGTAGAGAAAATTATAAGTCTTTAGTTTTAGAATTTTTGCACAAAGGAATATTTTGTCGTCAATATTATTTCCAATAAATAATATGCGAGTGTTCGTCAGATCTGTAGACTAGAAATAAAAATATGATCCACTTATAAAGAAAATATAATTATAGAATTTTTCTTTTAAGAATTCATTTTAAAAATACTCGCAATTTTGACGCACATTATATTTAGTCAGTATTTGTATAAATCGTATGTTTACGGCTATTATAATTTCTGGGACACTTATAAAAATTTGCCGAATGATTTTTCGGCCGATCCGGCTAAGTTATTGATTCGATATGATCCGTATAATAAAATATATAATTAATAAAAGCTATTTTTGTATCATAATGATCATTTTACAATAACAATAATGTCAACGATTTTAAATTTTCGTTCGAATGCTTGCCCAACATGTTTGGTGTGCTTAGTTTGTACGAAAATTTATGGAAAAAACTTTTCATGTCAACTAATAAACCTTAACAAGAAACGTAAAAAAGTAATCGAATATAAATTAGGCTTTTATAGGGCTGTTAAAAAGCTCTCCGAACCCGATCCTTGAGTCGACTTCACAGGGACTTTTTAGGACTGACTCCGAGTTTATCCCAGACAAAGTCCCATGCATATCGATGCATGTCGTTTGTTCCAAATTATGATTAGAAGGGCATTTGTGTGATTGGCTAATTTACCTTTAACGTTAATATTCCATGTAACTAATACGTTTAGATAACCTTCCAGTATTTGCGTGTTAAGGCCGTTCTCAAGCATCTCCCTCAATGTAATTGTCTAATGGTTGAGATTATGCTCAATGTTATAGTCGATTATGCTTGAGCTATCTTTCACTAAGGCTTCAAAAGAAAAGGTAATTACCTTACACCAAAACATTAGCTTCCAAAACTTTGGCGTCTGAATTTTTTTATAATAGCCTCAGCTATTTTCTTTTAATAATTTACAAATAACTTATTATTCTATCATTATAGCAATAGCCATATTTGAAAAAAACCAAAGGTAGTAACGGTGAATTTAGTTCTCATCAAGAGGAAATTGGTTATTTTTATCAAAAGGGAATTAGTTGTTCTTATCAAGAGGGAATTGGTCGTGCAATACAATTTTATATAACTTGTTGATATTGTAAAATTTTTATTTAATAGTAATAAAATAAATAGAAAAATAATTTAAATAACTAAAGATAGTTAGGATTATTCTTTGTGTATTGATTTTTTTTTTTTTTGTCTTCTGTAAGAGTTTTTTCAGAACAAAAAGCAGCATAGTAATTTTTTTGTTATTGACGGCAGTCTTGTTAAAGCCCAAAGTGATTAACGATCAATTTTTTTAGCAATTAGTAAGGAGACAACATTTGGAGTTTATTAATATCAACTAGACAATTAATTAACTCTTAATGTTAATGCCGCATACATTAAATATTAAGGGACATTACAAAACTCCTACTGTATATTAATTCATAAACTTACATTAAATACCATGTTCTTTTATTTAATAAAACAATCATGGCCAAAGTTTTTAATAGCAATAATAACTTAAATCGGTAATAAAAATCCTTGAATTTTTTTCTACCAACCTTAACTTTTTTTTCATCAAAAAAATAATAAATCTCTTAACAGCATTAAATTTATTTTAAATATTAATACATGTCTTACTCCAACACATCCGTTCCATCAATTTTTGATTCCATACCTCCAGTTCTTGATCCTGTTTCTCCAATTATTGACCCCGTTCTTGACCCCGTTCCTTCAATTCTTGATACTGTTCCTTCGACTTCTAATCCAGTTTCTGAGCCTCAAAATGAAGAAGAAACTATTAATAACACAACTACTCAAAGTAATAATACAAAAAAATCCAAAAAAAAAAAAAGGACCCATCACCAGTTTACAACTATTTGGAAGAACTTGATGATGGTATTCATCTTTGTAAAGTATGATCCTAAAATTAAACATCCTTGTAAATGGGGTGCACTTACATCTTTGTCAACAATTATGTGACATTTTGAAAATAAGCATTCGGATATCTATAGAGATTTTCAATGAAAAAATGCAAAAATTACTCATTTTCCATATTCAACAGCTGACAAAACTGGCAGGGATCGTATAAATTCTTTAACTCATGACCTATATCAATTAATTATTAAAAACCAGTTAGCCTATTCAATAGTGGATGAAACCCCTTTTATTAAGTTCGTTTCAAATCTCGATCCTAGGTATAAGCTTCCTTGCTGCCAGACGGTCTCTACCGCTATTAGAAATAAATTTGAATCTATGAGAATAGATATAAAAAATATATTAAAATAAAATCATAGTAAGCTAGCACTTACTATTGATGTTTGGACAGCATGTAACAAACAACAATTCCTCGGATTACTGTCCATTGGGTAGATGTAGAGTGGATAATAAGAACCCTTTTACTTGACTTTATACCTTTACACAACTCTCATACTGCTGCATATCTTGGCAAAAAAATACTTGAGGTTTTAGAAGAACTAGAAATAAAAGATAAAGTGATGGTAAATATTTATATAATTATTACAGTATTTCTTGTTAGCATTATCTTCCACATTTTTTAATAAAACAATCTTTATTAATCTATATTATAACAGGGCTTCATGGGTGATAATGCATCTAATAATCAAACGTGCTTGCAATATCTCCAAGATCATATTAATCCAGATTTTATGTACATACGGTGTGCTGCACATATCTTGAACCTTGTGGTTAAAGATGGACAAAAAAAATATATTAAACAGATAAAGAAAGTACGATGTATCTGTAAAAAGATTAGAAATTTACCTTCACTTTTGAATGAAATGAAGAGAATTTTTACCATCTTTAATCGCACGTTTCTTCATCCGGAACTTGATGTTGAAACAAGATGGAACTCCACCTATCTTATGATAAAACAGTTAATTGAAATTCAAGATATTATAGAAAGCCTTGTTAGACTTCATCCTGATCTAAACGAAGACTACTTGGAACCTAATGATTGGGTAGTAGTTAAGGACATGGTTCAATTCCTTGAACCTTTTTACAAGGCAACGTTACAATTGTCCAAGACTTTGGTTCCCTTGCATGGTTCATTACAAATAATTTTTCAGAGACTTCTAATACACCTTAACTCTTATATTGGCAACATAAATAATAATATGTACCGTGAGGCAGCTCAAGAAACAAAAAAAAAAATTAATGAAATACTGGCCTTATCTCTCTCAATCTTCAGCTATTCCGACTCTTCTTGACCCATCTACCAAATTTGAAATCTTTACAGAAAAAGATCGTCAGTTGGCTATTGAAAACTTGAAGGTTTCATATTCTCTTCAATACAAAGATAATGAAACAATAAAACCTAATCAAGATCCTCTAGAATATTTTTGAAATTTGGGAAAATCAAATAAGGATAAAGAAAAAGAAACCGCAACGAATGAATTAGCCATGTACCTTTCATTACCTCTAGAACCAAGTACTGATCCACTGTGGTGGTGAAAAACAAAAGCCCACTACTTTCCAAATGTAGCTTTGATGGCGGCTGACTTTTTTGCATTACAAACCACTAGCGTTCCCTGTGAACATGCTTTTTCCATGGCCAAATATACATTAGATCTTGAGAGAAGCGGCCTTCTTGAAGAATCAACAAGAGCCTCTTTATGTATAAAGAGTTGGTCTGAATCGGGAATATTAAAAATAGATAACTAAAAAAATATTTTTTGAAAAAATAGAAGCTATAGAATAAAAATATTTTTAATAAAAATATGGTTTATCGTTATCTTTGTAAATCAGTAGATTAGACGTATTACAGTATTACCGGTATTATTATTATTACATGCACAGACCTAACTTAAGGACCGAATCCCGATCAAAAGTCCTATTTAGGAGTCCGGACCGATAGGATCGGACTTTTAACAGCCCTAGGCTTTTATAACAAATATATTACTCGAGCAGGTGCTGCTATTAAAAAGTTAAATATGATCATGAATTTATCGACTGGTTTAAAAATGAATCTCAGGTTAAGATTCCAAGCGACCAAGATATTATTAATATTTGTCAAGAATGCATGAAGAATTATGATGAACAAAACTTAATTCAATTTTTTAAAAAACCAATTTTCATTGAAAATAATTAGAAATGAATAAAAGAACAGAAATTGAATTTTGCACAATTTTCTTAAAAACGATTCATTGAAAATAATTAGAAATGAATAAAGGCTTCGTTTAAACGAAAATCAATTTTTTAAAACCAAATTTTTTGTCTTCGACAAGAAATAAAAAATAATTAGAAATGAATAAAGGCTTCGTTTGAACGAAAAATAGATCTTGCCAAAGATAAAGAATTGAAAATTTGCACAATTTTTTAAAACCGAAAATAATTAGAAATGATAAAGGCTTTGTTTGAACTAAAATGGATCTTACCAAAGAATAGGAATTGAAATTTTACACAATTTTTAAAACTGAATTTTCGTCGAAAAATAATTAAAAATGAATAAAAGCTTCGTTTTAGCGAAAATGGACCGTGCCAAAGAATAGGAATTGGAATTTACCCATTAGATCTTAGAGATAAGATGGTTTAACTTGTAAAATTATATGAAATTTTGGGTCTTAAAAAGACCCAATTTTGTAAATCCGCCGATATGGATATTGAATCTTATTCATATGGGCGGAAATTTTTAGTAGAGTGCTGACTATATAAAATTAGGTGATTAGGCCACGCAAAATTAATTTTTCGTTTAACATTACCCGCCGACCCATTTTTTTAATTTTTTTAAAATTTTTTTTTTTTTTTTTTTTTTTTTTTACATCTCAATTGTGCCAATTATTCGATTTTTGCTATTTATTTTTTCTGCAATTTTTAACCGGTATCACCCGATGGAGACACCCGACATCCCGGAGTTATCCGATAGGACCGACAGAAAAAAAACGACAGCCAACCCAATTTTCTAATTCCTTGTTATGCAAAAAAAAGAATAACTTTGCATAACCTTAAAATACGAACATAATTCTATTGATTTAAAGTAGATTTGAAAAAAAAAGAAAAAAAAAAAAAAATCGACCGACCGACCCAGTTTTCAGATTCCATGTAATGTTAAACGAAAAATTTACTTTGCGTGGCCTTATAAACAGTTTTTTTACGACTAAAATTTCGCAAGAAAAGCTTTTTGTTAGTGCGCAGAAAATAGTTTCTTAGGTAAAACGCTGAGTTATGAACTTTTGGTTTGTTTTGATTTTTTGTGTTTTCTTCACATCTGATCGTGAAATCTGATAGGTTGACGAAATACGTAGTAGCGAAATTTTTTAAGGTGATTCTAGAGTGGTTTTTTGATTAAAGTGAATTAATATGTTTCGATACGATAGACTCCCATCAAAATCCCATCAATATCGAAATTTAAAAACGGGCAGGATTATTAAACCAGCTCCAACCTCTATTACAAAGTAATTTTAGTCATTACAGCATTGTCGTTAGGATTTGTTTAAAAGTAGGACAATTTATAAAAAAAGCTTGTCTGTAAAATGAACGATTGGTGAAATACATTGTCTACAGATGAGCTTGTCTGTGAGCAGGGATTTGTATGTTTATTATTATAAAACCGATTAATTAATAGAGTCGTTGGCATCCTTATCTGTGAGTTACTGTAATTGTTTGTAAAATAATCCTGCCTATAACTAGGTGAAATAATATGGACATAATATTAGTGAACTTGCTTATCTTAAATAATTAATATTCGGCGAATAAAATAGCAGATATTCATAAAGCTGATAACTTATTAATGAATCTAATGATAATATATATTTATCCTATTTTTTTGGGTATTGAACAATTTTTTATGGCCAGTTTTTAACCATGATCCAATTCTAGATCTTGATTATTTGCAGATTACTTTCTATTAAACTTTTCCGATTAAAAAAGAAGTTTGACAAATATTCAAAAACTCAGCATCTCGTAATCATCCAATTAATGCGAATGAAATGATATAAGAACATCGCGTGATGGTAAATATTCAAGAACTTAAGTAGTTTATTACAATAATTTAATTAGAATTTATTTCTTGTTTACCTGCAAATTTAACGGACAAACAATATTAATGGAATATTACATGACAGCAAATATTTATGCTATACTTAAGTGGTATTTATGAACACAGAATTAGAAACAAAAAGAAAACATCAAGTAGTATTAAACTACCGAAAGCAAAAATCATAACGAACAATTCAATGTTATAATAAAGATATGGATATTTCCGAAAAAAAACCCATTCGCATATATTTAAAATTTGTTAAGATGAAATTCTGTAGGACAATAAATTTTAGAATTTATTTTTTTTTAAACGTATTTTAAATAGTACATAATCTGTCTAAACGCGGAGGATTGAATGTTGGAGTTTGTTAATGAAAAGTATAAATACTTCTGATTGTTTAAGAAATTGAATGTACTGTGCAATTAAAATAATAGGAAGTCGCGATAATACAATATTAACAAATTTGAAAAAAGACATATGAAAGGTATTTAAAATAAGAGTAAATAATCATTTAATAAAATTTTGCTGGGGACTTTGAAGAAACTTAGAAACTTAAGGAGGTTATTCTAAATATAGACCTGAAGTTGATGTTTATTCACTTAGCATAATAATGTAAGAATATCTCTTGACTGTTAAAGTTTTGAATAAGAAAATAAATATTTACTTTTGACAACTTGTAAATGAACAAAACCAATTATCGTTAAATATATAACACAATGATATATTGATCTTATGAAGAAGTGCTGGTATGATATTCGAAATCTGTTAAAAGACGAAATATTAGTGCACAATTACAGTTTGATTTGATAAAAATTTTGAAAAAAAAGAAGACATAAAAACATTAAATTTTCAGAGAGAAAAAATGGCAGAAGTTATTGTCGATTTTTATCGTCAAAATATTTCTAAAAATTACCATGTTAGCTTGGACATCTAGTGACAAAAAAGATTTGACTGATCGCGCTATTAAGACTATTTGAATGCTATGAATAATATCAATTCTTTCGTGTATAAATAAATTATTCAGGATAGTGAAATTTTCATGTTAGTTAATTTCCACTATGAAATAATTTATCTGATATCATACTTTCTGTTAACACTTTTTTTTTTGAAATACAAATAATTAAATACTATCGTTATTGTATCTTTAATTACGTATGTATGTAGCACCAATTTGTTTGGGAAATGTTACAATATGCATGCGGCGGCGGCAATTGCAACAAAGATATAAATGAACGCTGCACAACGTAATACTTGTCTTCAATAGACTCAATGATTTCATTGTAACACTATACTGCATTAATACATTCTTTCTTGAAATGTCAATTTATAATAATATATTCGAAAAGCAGCCAGAACAAATCGACAGTTCATCGGATATTATTCAAATAGTCAACAATGTTAAACAATTGCGTTTAGAGGATAATAAATCACAAAATTTCCTTAATGAAATTATTGAAGAAATGTGTAATATATATGATAAAGAAAGATCGAAAGGCCAAACCGTCCGTTCAATTCTTGACATGTTAGAACAATTTCTAATAAACGAAAAACAAAATCCATATGACATTATCAATTGTTGCTTAAATGATCATGTCAATCCTATAGTTCAAATCATACTTGCAAGCTGTTATTATTATGGCAAATGGGTTGAAGAGGATAAACATAAGACTTTCATTTATTACCAAAAATCTGCCGATATGGGTAATGCTAAAGGAATATATGAAGTTGGAAAATGCTATAATTATGGTACAGGAATTGAAAAGGATGAACATAAGGCTTTCATTAATTATAAAAAATCCGCAGAAATGGGATACGCTAGAGGGATAAATAAGATTGGATATTGCTATCGGAAAGGAATCGGGATTGAAAAAGATGAATATAAAGCATTCGTTTATTATCAAAAATCTGCAGAGATGGGGTATGTTGGTGGATTATATAATGTTGGATATTGTTATTTCAATGGAATAGGAGTTGAAAAGGATGAACATGAGGCATTCATTTATTTTCGAAAATCTGCTGAGATGGGTGACGCTATGGGAACATATAAAATTGGATATTGTTATCGATATGGAATTGGGATTGATAAAGATAAACATAAGGCCTTTATTTATTATCAAAAATCGGCAGAAATGGGATACTCTAGAGGAATATATAAAATTGGATATTGTTACCTTAATGGAATTGGAGTTGAAAAAGATGACCATAAGGCATTCAATTATTTTCAAAAATCTGCTGAGATGGCGTATGTTGATGGAATATCAAAAGTTGGATATTGCTATCTTTATGGAATTGGTGTTGAAAAGGATGAATATAAGGCATACATTTATTATAAAAAATCTGTAGAGAATTAACGCATAATGTTATCGAAATGAAATTGGAATAACAAGAGATCCGCTAAATACAGATACTGACTGGTATTAAAGGTAATTTAAGTCTATATTTTTGTGTGCATTGTGACATATTATAATCAAATAGTAATCAGTAGAATTAAAATCAAAAAGTATATTAGCTTGTGTCAGGATTAAAGTTAAGTAAGATTAAGGTAGAGGTACCTAAAATTAGCAAAAAAATTTCTAAAGGTGATTTTTATAAACAAAGTTTCAAGTTATAGATGATTTTGTTTAAGATTACACCTGGTCTTGTTACTACCACCAGCTAAACAATAATGCACGAGATTGATATAAAATATTTAACTGTTTTCCGAGATCCCATACCTCTGTGTTGCGAATACGCTGGTATTAGACACCATTAAACACCATTAAACACCATTAGACACCATTAGACACCCATTAGACATATAAAAAACATATATTTGTTTAATAATTTTTTTCATTAAGCTATGTAAGCTCACAACCCTGCCCTGCTGTATTAGTGCATAAACAAATAATAAAACTGTTATGTAGTAAAAATACAAATTCAATTAAAATAGATATAATTCATTACGTTTAACCTTGAAGACTAAAATTCTCATAGTAATTAATAGTGCATAACAATCTAAACTCTAGATTTACTTTTTCTACAAATTGGATCATAAATATACGATTCTATGTAGTAGTTAATGTATAAACGTTAAATTTTCTATTTAGAAAATCTTTTTTAGACAGAAATGGTTCAAAGTGAACAAGATTGGAGCTGTATATTTTTAGAATAATAAAAAAATAATTAATAGATGAAAATGTAAATATATATATCTATAAATAAAAATTATAAATAATATTTGCAGTATTAATTTAATTTTTCATGTTCGTGAGGGTCACAGCTTGATCAGATGTGACATATGTGCAATGTTCTCCAATGAGCTGGCTCAAATAGGCTTATTCGATATTCCCATTGGCTGATTAAGGCTTATTTAGTTTTTATACTATATAAATCACTTATTTGTATAACTTATACAATATTCTTGAATATATTATATGTTATACAACTTATAACTTAAATAAGTTAATGAGGTGAAGGATAAGCCTATTTGAGCCGGCTCATTGAAGCACACTACATACGTAGGATCATTTTTAAAAAAATAGCACTTATATCTATTACAGCATTATAGGAATTATGGTGAAGGATTTTAGTTTGGTGTTGCGGAAAAGAATGAATGCACTTATGAGGTTTAAGTTGGGTAATGTCTGCATAAAGGAATGAACATGAATTTGCTGTTACAAATTGTGTAAGTTATCCTACTGAAAAGTTGTCTTTTTAAGAAAAAGAAATAAATTGACGAAATTATTTAGTATGTTGAAAATAATTATATAATCAGATATCTTAGAATACTAGGTTTATATTTTTTATAATTCCAGTTTATATAATTGTCTTTAAACCAACAACAAAAAAAAAAAAAACTTATTGTGTTTTTACACTTTAAATGTTATTTTATGATAAGCATTTACGAAAAAAAAATTATTATTAAATGATTAAAAATTGATGCTAGAATCTGAGGTTTTTTATTATTTTTGCTTAACTTTTCTGTCTTAATTATACTAATAAACAATCGAAGTGCAAAAATCTACCATACAACATAAAAATTTTATTAAATTCCCTTCAGTGCGATAATACAATTTAGAATATGAAATTATGAGTGCTCTTATTAATGATATCTTAATAATCTAGGATATCATATCTAAAATTTACCGGTGTTACTTTAGTTGAGAGAATATCATGAAAAGAAAATTTAGGATAGATGAACCATTATTAGGAACGGTTTATGAGAATATTCTTTATTATAAAAAAGTTTAGAGAGCAGATAGCTTCTATTCTTGCATCGAGGTGGAGAGTTAGCGTTTATATACGTACGCAGAAATCATTGGAGCGGCATCGATGATTATTCTTAACGACATTGTCTTTTCGTTACTGTCACGAAGATTCTTAACGACATTGTCTTTTCGTTACGGTCACGAAGATTCTTAACTATGGGGCTTTAGGTTGGTTTTCCCTAAGATCAAGCACTCACTTTGCACTGGTCAGTTTGCCAGACACATGCACCTCAACAGGTTATGTCTATTGTTTCTTACTAAGAGAGTTTATGTCAAGTAATGGAAAAGCTTTTTCTTCCCAAAGAGAGAACTTGATGCTCTAACGAATCTCTTTCTTCAATTTATACCGAATTTCTATTTGACTACAAATAGGTTTCATCAAACCATAATCGATGACTACATTTCTAATCTAGATTATGTACAACTATAATAAACTACGCTTTTATGACACACATATTACAAATAAACTTCATGCATTAGATCACTGATCTAATCGATTAATATCTATTACCCGATCATCACGTGCACACGTGACATTGTGAACCAAATTCAATCACTTCCAAACCCAACATTCCTCGAATGTAATATACAAAGGTTTGGTTATCATTGTGACAGTTACCCATCAGGACCACCACTCAACGAATGTACAGCACATTGTGATACTAATTTATGTAGTAACACCGATATTGTGTGGGTTATACCTCGGAGTTTCTTCGGAGCATCCCTATCCAATGTACCAAATAATGACGAAATGATCAGCTATGCTGTATGTGGTGCAATGTGATACTCACGTATGTATCTCAAATATAAATTTGATGCTTCTATATGTAACGTTGCCAAAATGTCAGTTTGCAATATCCAACGTACGTACGTACTTGAAAAACAGCTAGAAAAAATCGACTGTTCATAAGATATTATTCAAGTAGTCAACAATACTACCCGATTGTATTTAAAGGATAACATGCCACAGGATGTTTCCCAGGAGTTCCTTAATGGAATTGTTAAAGAAATGTGTAATCTGTATAATGAAGAAAGATTGAAAGGCAGAGATCCCAGTCCAGCTCTTGATACATTAGAACAATTTCTAATAAATAAGAAACAAAATCCTATTGATATCATCGATTATTGTTTAGATGATCAAATCAATCCTACAGTTTTACTTATTCTTGCAAATTGTTATCATTTTGGTAAATGGATTGAAAAGGACGAACATAAGACATTTATTTATTATCAAAAATCTGCAGATATGGGTGACGCTAGGGGAACGAGTAATGTTGGATATTGTTATCGAAATGGAATTGGAGTTGAAAAGAATGATAATAAGGCATACTTTTATTATCAAAAATCTGCAGAGATGGGTAACGCTATTGGAACAAGTAATGTTGGATATTGTTATCTCAATGGAATTGGAGTTGAAAAAGATAAACATAAAGCATTTATTCATTATCTTAAATCTGCAGAAATGGGATATGCTAGAGGAACTTATGAAGTTGGAAGTTGTTATCTTAATGGAATTGGGACCGAAAAAAATGAATATAAGGCATTCATCCATTATCAAAAATCTGAAGAAATGGGATATGTTAAAGGGACGTATAAGGTGGGATATTGTTATCGAAATGGAATTGGAGTTAAATATAATGATCATAAAGCATTCATTTATTATAAAAAATCTGCAGAAATGGGATACGCTAAAGGGATTTATAAGGTTGGATATTGTTATCTCAATGGAATTGGAGTTGAAAAAGACGAAGAAAAAGCATTCATTTATTTTCAAAAATCTGCTGAGATGGCGTATGTTGATGGAATATCAAAAGTTGGGAATTGTTATCTTTATGGAATTGGGGTTGAAAAAGATGAATATAAAGCATACATTTATTATCAAAAATCTGTAGAGATGGTTAACACATAATGTTATAGAAATGAACTGGAATATCACGAGATGGCAAATCCAGATACTAGTATCAAAGGTAATTTAAGTCTATATTCGTGTAGTGCATTGCGACATACCACAATCAAAATGATAAATTAAATACAATTAAATTCGAAAAATATATTAGGTTGTGTCAGGATTAAAGCTATATAGGATTAGGGTAGAGGGTAACCTAAAATTTAAGTTAAGAGGATTATAGTATAGAGTAGCCTAAATTTTGCAAAAAAACTTTTAAAAAGTGATCTTATTAACAAAATTCAAGTTACATTTGATTTGTTTAAGGTTGTACCTAGTCATGAAAATACCATAATTCAATAGTACCAGCTAAGCGATATTTACGGGATTGGTGCAAAATATTCGACCATTTATCGAGATCTTATACCAATGCACAAACAAGATGTGAATTAAAATAATTCATTGCGTTTAACCTTGAATGCTCAAAATTATCATAGTATTTAATAGTGCATAACAACTTAGGCTTTTAGGTTTACTTTCTCATCAGATTAGTTCATAAAGATACGATTTTTATTAATAGCTAATGTATAAATTTTCTATTTTTATCAATTCTTTTTGGACAGAAATAGTTCAAATAGAAACAAGAATTAGGCTATACTTTTTTTTTTAATATAATAAAAAATAATTAATAGGTGAAAGCGTACATAAAAAGCAAAATAATTTTTATATAAGATTTATAAATAATATTTACAGTCTATTTTAATTTTTTATGTAAAACGTATATGCTATTGTCCACGAAGTGCTTAATAACCAAGAAAGTTCGGGCTCGTAAGTGTTATGGCTTGTTCAATTATGACGTATGTAGGCTCAATTAACAAAAAAAAAAAAAAGAATAGTGCCTATAATAACGATTATGTAAAGGTTTCTTGGTTTGTTGTTAAAGAAAGAATAAATGCATTTATGAGGCTTAATATGAGTATTTGGGCAGGTAATAACATCAGAATAATTCATAGCGAAATTATTTTCGACTGCTTAAAACTTTGTTCTAGTATGTCGAAAATCGTTTAGTATTGCGAAAATATTTCATAGAACCGGATATCCCAGTAGATATCAGAATATCAGGTTTATATTTTTTAACTCCAGTTTATAAAATCGCTCTTTAAACCAGCAATTAAAAACAAACCTATCGTTTTAACTGTTATTTCATTAAATGATTAAACTTGATGTTAAGAATTTGAAGTTCATTTCATAATTCTTGCTTGACTTTTACTGTCTTAATTATGCTAATAAAGCAAGCAAGATCAATATTTACAAAAACATCGAAATATTTATTAAATTTCCTTTGGTATAGTAATACAAATTAGAAATATACGTGAAATTATGATAGTACTCTTATTAATGATATCTTATCTATTAAGACGGTGTTATATCTAAAATGCACTGGTGTTATGAAAATTTTGCTTAAATTTTTTTTATTATGTTTTTCTATATCATATTAGTATTCTTACTACATTTGTTAGCACTATTGTTATAAAATGGACAGAACTTGGTTCAAACCCACAGATCTTGGTTTGAGACCACAGAACTTGGTTCGAAACCAAGATTTTGATTTCAAACTACGGCAGAGCAGAATGTATAAATATGATATTAAGATTAATAAAGAGAAGAAAGAGTTCTAAATGTTGCATACTAAATGAAGTAATAACGTATTTTAACCTTACCTACCGACTAAAATACTTTCCTTTATACCAACTATCATTAATCCCGAATCCCTAATAATTTACAATTTCGGTATGGAGAAGGTTATACCTCGGAGTTACTCCGGAGTATCTTACTCATTAACATCCCTAACAATAATATGATCAGCAAAAATTAGTCAATCACAATAAAGTTCGCTATGCTGCATGTTGTACAGTGTGATACATATCTCAATATAAATTTGATACTTCCATATATAACATTTACGCCAAAATGTTAATCTACTTAAAAGTCAGCCAAAAAACGTCAGTGTTCATCAGATATTATTCAAATAGCCAACAATACTACTCTATTATATTTAAAATATAACATGTCGCAAGATTTTTCCCGGGTGTTTATTAATGAAATTGTTAAAGAAATATGTGATCTATATAATGAAGAAAGATTGAAAGGCATAGATCCCCATTTAGCTCTTGATAGATTAGAACAATTTTTAATAAAGAAGAAACAAAATCCAGTTGATATTATCAATTATTGCTTATATGATCAAATCAATCCTACAGTTCAAATTATACTTGCAAGTTGTTATCGTTATGGTAAATGGATTGAAAAAGATAAACATAAAGCATTTATTAATTACCAAAAATTTGCAGAAATGGGTGACGCTATTGAAACGAATAATGTTGGATATTGTTATCATTATGGAATTGGAGTTGAAAAGGATGAACATAAGGCTTTCATTTATTATCAAAAGTCTACAGAGATGGGATTCTCTGGAGGAACAAATAATGTTGGATATTGTTATCATCATGGAATTGGAGTTAAAAAAGATGAGTATAAGGCTTCTATCTATTATCAAAAATCTGCTGATATGGGGCACGCTGCTGGAACATATAATGCTGGATATTGTTGTGAAAATGGTATTGGAGTTAAAAAGGATGAAAATAAGGCTTTCATTTATTATCAAAAATCTGTTGAAATGGGATACACTGGAGGGATATATAATGTTGGATATTGTTATCGAAATGGAATTGGAACTGAAAAAGATGAATATAAGGCATTCACTTATTATAAAAAATCTGCAGAGATGGGAGATGCTAATGGAATAAATGAAGTTGGTTATTGTTATCAAAATGGCATTGGAATTAAAAAAGATGAATATAAGGCATTCATTTATTATCGAAAATCTGCCGAGATGGGACACGCTGAGGGAACATATAACATTGGTTGCTGTTACACGCATGGAATTGGAGTTGAAAAAGATAAACAAAAGGCTTTCATTTATTATCATAAATCTGCAGAGATGGGGCACGCTGCCGGAACATATAATGTTGGACATTGTTATAAAAATGGAATTGGAATTATAAAAGATGAACATAAAGCATTCATTTATTATCAAAAATCTGCAGAAATGGAAAATGCCAATGGAATGACTGATGTCGGATATTGTTATCAAAATGGAATTGGAATTGAAAAAGATGAAAATAAAGCATTCAGTTACTATCAAAAATCTACAGAGATGGGAAACACTGCTGGAACATATAACCTTGGTTGTTGTTATGAAAATGGAATCGGGGTTGAAAAGGATGAACAAAAGGCTTTTACTTATTATCAGAAATCAGCAGAAATGGGATACGCTAGAGGGATATATAATGTTGGGTATTGTTATCGAAATGGAATTGGAATTGAAAAAGATGAACATAAGGCGTTTACTAACTTTCAAAAATCTGCAGGAATGGAAAATGCTAATGGAATAAATGATGCCGGATATTGTTATCAAAATGGAATTGGAATTGAAAAAGATGAACATAAAGCATTCATTTACTATCAAAAATCTACAAAGATGGGGCACGCTGCTGGGACATATAATGTTGGTTGTTGTTATGAAAATGGAATTGGAGTTGAAAAAGATGAACATAAAGCATTCATTTATTATAAAAAATCTGCAGAAATGGGATACGCTAGAGGGACATATAATGTTGGATATTGTTATCGAAATGGAATTGGGATTGAAAAAGATGAAAATAAAGCATTCATTAATTATCAAAAATCTTCAGAGATGGGAAATGCTAATGGATTAAATGAAATTGGATATTGTTATCAAAATGGAATTGGAATTGAAAAAGATGAACATAGGGCATTCATATTTTATCAAAAATCTGCTGATATGGAGCACGTTGATGGAATATATAACGTTGGTTGTTGTTATGAAAAAGGAATTGGAGTTGTAAAAAATGAACATAATGCTTTCATTTATTATCAAAAATCTTCAGAGATGGGACACGCTGATGGAACATATAACGTTGGTTTGTGTTATGCAAATGGAATTGGAGTTAACAAAGATAAACATAATGCTTTCATTTATTATCAAAAATCTGCAGAGATGGGGCACGCCAGTGGTGCATATAGTGTTGGAAATTGTTATGATGAAGGAATTGGGGTTGAAAAGGATGAAAATAAAGCATTCATTTATTATCAAAAATCTGCAGAGAAGGGTGACGCTATGGGAACATATATGGTTGGATATTGTTACCGATATGGAATTGGAGTTGAAAAGGATAAACTTGAGGCATTCATTTATTATAAAAAATCTGCAAAAATGGGATGCGCTAGAGGTACATATAAGGTCGGATATTGTTATCGAAATGGCATTGGAGTTGTAAGGGATATATATATGGCATTCTTTTATTATTATAAATCTGCAGAAATAGGATACGATAGAGGAACATATAAGGTTGCACATTGTTATCGATTTGGAATTGGAGTTGAAGAAGATAATTGTAAGGCATTCATTTATTATCGAAAATCTGCAGAAATGGGATACGGTAGAGGAGTATATAGGGTTGGTTATTGTTATCGAAATGGAATTGGAGTTGAAAAGGATGAACATAAGGCATTCATTTATTATCAAAAATCTGCAGATATGGGAAATTTTAAAGGACTAAAAGAAGTTGGAAATTGTTACCTTTATGGAATTGGGGTTGAAAAGGATGAATATAAGGCATACATTTCTTATAAAAAATCTGTTGAGATAAATAATGTTAGTAAAATGTGAAATGCTATATAATGTTATCGAAAACCAAAAACTGGTATCAAAAGTAAATTTATTCGAGCTTAAATTCGTGTGGTGTATTGTGATATACGTACTACAGTAAACTGATAAGCAGGTACAATCAAAATCAAATATTTATACTTGTTCAGTTAAGAATAGGGTTAGGATATAGATGTAATCTTAAATTTTAAAAAGGTGATTCATAAACAATAATGCAAGTTATAGATAAATTTTTTGTGTAAGTTTACACTTAAATATGGGGAAAATACGCATGATAAGCATAATTTTTTTTTATTTTTTATTATTTATAGTATATTTAAATAAAGATACAACATCTTAGCCAATGCAAAAAATAAACAATCACAGCTAATTTATGAAATTAAGCTAACATCCAGTCCTCAAAATTAAACTTTAGTTCCCAGATTACATATAAATAAATCAATACAAGTCTCCAAAATTTTAAACTAATGATCTAAACCAATAACGTGTCTAAACCATCACTTACCATCTTTATTTTGACACTTTTTATTGATATAATTTATCGTAACAATACATTGAGAAACGTTAATTAACTCAACCAAAAAGACGGCAATTGTCGTATCTAAAGTTACCATCTATCTGAAGTTACAACTTTAGATATATAAAGTTGACCTGACTAAAATTAAGCCCCTGAAATTAGATCTTCATACATATAATTCTGGTTAGGTGCAACTTTATATATCGATATCTAAAGTTGCAACTTCAGATAGATAATAACTTTAGATATGACAGTTATGACTGAATCGACTTGAATAAAAGATTGTTCATCAACCAAATCAGCACGGGAGATAATTTATAGAAAACTAATAAGAAGGCATATATTGCTTTCGAATACTTTGATTAACAAATTATTTTAACTTTCCGGTTAAATTAACTTAATAATGAGAAATAACAGATAATTTATAATCTTACCGAGATAGAATAACTTAAGGAGCATTTGTCATATTTTAAACTATACTTACAGACTAATTTAATGTAAATATACAGAAATGACTTATTTTAAATACATACACTATTATATTCATCGCTACTAAATCAATGAAATAAGAAATCAAATTTAAAATGAATAAACACTATTTATTTTCGCAACGGCGGGAATAATAATTCCCGGTTATTATATGAGGGCCTTTCGGGTCCTAATATAACCGGAGATCTACCGGCTTATTTCCTAGTGATACGGGCTGGCCCCGGCCCAACGGCCGGGCCGATAGCGGGTCGACCCTCAGCCTGCACCATCGTGGGCCGGGCCGGTCGATAAAAGAAGTGCTAGAATCGACTCTCATATACTGGCTAAAAAATTGGCTAAAAATCAACTAATCATTTATAAAAATGTAGACACTCATTAGTTGGCTAATTTATGCGATAAATTAGCAAATAACTAATACAAATAGAAATGCCTCGGGTGCATAGACAATTAATCAACATAAAATATAACGCATTATGAATAATTTTTGGTATAATAGAATTTTGGCAAGGAACTACTTGATGGCTTTCTACACGTTTGATATAGATATCGAGACTAACTCTTATTAGTAAAATTTATATTAGCTAAAACGTTCGGCCCGGTCGACCGGCCCGAGATTTTTTAGGATCGACCCGGCCCATGATTTTTTCATCGACCCGTATCACTATTATTTCCTTGCAGTGGAAAATGTGGGTGTTATTCATTATGAATGTCATGACGGCAGATCATATAAGTTGTAGTAGTGATTTCTTCATTTGATCCACAAATTTCCAATATTGATAATGAGATCAGTACGGCATGTTTTTAAAATACCGTATAAGCGTGAATAACGCTCGTGGGCGTTATTTTGAAAATCGGTCCTTCAAAAACAACTTATATAGCTCTCATTGGCGTCCTGAATTAAAACGCGCATCCTAATGTTGCACATAATTTACTGTTGCGATATACAGTTGATACCCCATATGCGCACACTCTATAAGTGCAATTCACATGCACTTTCCCTATAATGACAAGTGCTCATAATTTAAGTAATTATTTAATATTATAGGTAGATTATTTTCATAGTGAATGTTTTCTAAATGCACCTTTACC